ACCCGTTCAACATATTAATTCTTTTTCTTTATTTCACATTGAACAAAACAGCTTTTTAGAGGACACAAATCGCGGGTGATGTTCGCTTCTGCTAATAAATCCATATCCCAGCGGCGCGCAAAGGACACCTGGCGAACCAGGGATCAACCGAAGCCCTCCCCTCTACCAAAGACGAAAGGGTATCAAGAAGATTCCGTCATGGCTGAAGCTTTGATATTCCATTTACACTGAAGTCTGCAGAAATTTCCCACGCAGCTTCACAGCCCGTCGTGGCTTTTGGCCTTCTGCATCATTTGAAAGATTCTACCCAAAATTATTTCCAGACTTAGCAAAAAAGACAGCTATCCTCCTTTCCCTTTGCCGGGACACATTTCCGCTACGGTTATTTTTTCCTTCCATTTGTACACCCGGAGATTACCCATTGAATTAATGATATGAATGCATGGTACCTCGGAGCTAAGCTGCGGCGTAGGTGGTAGGCATGTTACTGGCCTTTTCCTCCGACTGAGACTTCCATCGTCGCCCGCATATGCGGGATCCTAAATTCAACCTTCATTCATTTAGGGCCCATTTCCTTGTCTTCCGACAACAATAATTCATAAATAAGTTCCAACCAGTTAATAATATTTTACTAAATCTTCATTCACAAAATCAAGGAATGCCCATTCTGTGATGGGCTTGATTAGAACTACTTAACAGTGGATGAGACGCAAGGAAGAGAAACGAACCATTCGAACCAAAAAGTGCACAAAAATTGTTGCGTTCTGGCACAGGAAAACAATGAGCTAGGGCAGCGTGAAGCAGCATAACAGGATCAATGTTATTTTAGGTCTCAAAACCAACGATTCAACTGATGAAAAGCTAAAATCCCTTCTCCATTCACTCTCTGTGAAGGTCTAAGTCATTCACCGCTCGAATATTAGCAAACGTCTACAGTAACCACTTGCTGCAGTGGCAGCGCGCGCCTACAGTAACCATTCACTACTAATTTTTTCTTACATCATCGTCACCTTCCTCTTCTTTTTCTCCATTAAGCACTCACTTCTATTCTCTTGCATCATTTTCACCTTCCTGCATTCTTTTTCTATTCTATTTTAATCCAAATTCAGTTGCAACCTCAATAACTGCCTCTTTCGAGATCTGCTTATAGACATGCTCAGAGGGGTTTTGCTGATAGCTTTATGGATTCCTCCAGGTATGAGGCAAAGAGTACCGTGCTTTAAAAATGGGTTACTCTACAATTTATATATTGAAAAACAATAAGTATGCGAATAAGTATTCAATAAAATGAAGACACTATTATGCGACTACAGTGTTCAAATGACTGTTGAAGATCCTCGGAACATGATTTCTACGAAGCTTTCCAACACCAGTTTCGTTGTGGTGAAGACGTTAATGGACAAATGCATATGAGGGAGAAAAGTTGTGCTGGTAGATAGACAGGGCTGAGTGATTGAAAAAATCATGGTACCCATATGTTAAAATAGTAGTGCAGGCGTCACTGGCACGGTAAGCTAATCCATATTATCTTGAACGTAGAGAGGGGCGTGGAAAGCATAAGATCGTAGCCAAGCAAATAGTTGCCAGCTACACAGATGAAGGTCTTGTTGCAGGCGCAGGTTTCTCGGTGGTCAAAGCAAAATAATCTTTTTTCAGACACACTGTATAAGCTTTTCATACTATAAAGCTTTTCACACTTTTAGATTCGGTGAGTTTTAATATCTTGGCGTCTTCAAACAAACCAAGAAGATTTCACTTTTCGAAAAAGTATTAAATTGTTTGACATCTTGGTAATTAGCGGTTGGTAAATTGATGACGAATGATGGGAGCGTAAGGATGGGGCGAACAAAAATCTTAATAGGTGCACTAGATATCTTGCTCCATGTGGGATAACA